TGCTATGTGCAGGTATTAATCCTTAGCTGTTGCCTGGCTGCCTAATGTCTGATTTCCACAGCAACTCCTATCTTCTGCCTGCCATCCTATAGTACAAAAACACTGGGTAAGGATCACCCTGTATCCTGGAATTATCTGGATCCTTTTCCAGGCAAACACAGACTAAACAGATGCTCTTTGTACCTATTCTCCTTTGTGTTTCATTCTTTAAACTAAAGGTATATGCAGACTAATCTTGGTACTTTCTCTTCCTGTCACTTCAAAGAAGAGGGACCTTTTAGTGAGTTTGGGATAATAAACATGCAAATGAACACTGACAGCTCAACTGACATTTTGGGGCATTCAGACCTTTGAATTTCATGGAGTAATTCCTTATTAGTCACCTCTGCATCTGGAAGACTGAACTGCAACCGTGTATACTTGATATTACACACACTACAGAAAGACACCATCAGAAAAGGGAGGGGGGGAAGTACCAAGCATACCAGCTACACTTAATTACTTCAGTAGCTCACCCTTACTATTATAGCCCCTAAATATATGTTAGAAGGGCTTTTTGTGTGATACAGATTTCCTCAGGATTTATCAGCCCATAGTACTGAAGCAAAACAGCTCTCCCCACACCCACTACACTCCTCATTTCTCCAGACATTTACTGAAGTCAAAATTATTTTATTAACAATATGATTGTCTGCTGCCATGGAGGAGTGTAGTACCAAGTTCACAATGTTCATAATGAAATGAGATTTGGAGAAATCGAAGATTTCTCTACATATCACTGCCTTTGCTAATTAATAAAGGAAAAAACTAAACTGGACTTGAAGGCAAGGAAAGTTCATAACTATATCCAAACTCTGTTGCTCAGGCCTCGTTTGCCCTGAAAACATAGCAAGATGGATTAACAGAGAAAGTTGGAAACAATTAATAGTTTTGTGTTTGTTGAATTTAGAAATAACTTCTCTAGCACCCAGGACAGGATTTCAGAAGTCAGAATCCTACATAAAAATGAAAAGAGAAGGCCCTTAGTACACTCTGTCTGTTAAATTCTAATGTTTGAAAAAAGAAATGAGTGCATAAACAATACAAGTTGTCTATGTATGTATATGTATACACCTTTGATACGAATATTCCTCCAAGCTCATGATCATAAGTGAAGGTTAGGAAGTAGCAACAGCAATGTTGCAAATGCAAACAATTCACATTCACCAGAAGGACTGTCCAAAGTGAAAATGCAGTATGAGGTAGAAAACTAAGGGGGGAGGGGGGGGAAGAAAGAAAAAGAAAACAGGGCTCATGTCCTCATGGAAGATTTTTGAAATTCTGGACACATCTGCAGAAATTTAGGCTTGGATTATGTATGATTCCATCTTTATAACAGAAAGATTTCTTGAGATTGGTTTACTACCTACAGGAGAAAAAAATCATCCTGTGCCAGACAACATGCAGTTGCCCGCACTCTGGCCTTCCTTGAAACAATAGTAACAGCAAAGGTACAGCCTGAACTGGGCCACTTTGTGTTCATTAACCTCAGATAAGTTGGTTTGTTGGTTTTTTTTTCAGATCCTGTTTTGGAACGCTTTAAATTATAACATTGTAAAGCTAGGCAGCCTTTACACAAACATAGAGGGACAAGGCCTTTTAAAAAGTTTTTAAACTTTTTAAAAAGTTCCTTTGCAGGGAACTTTTTCTTTTATACCACCATTTCCCACCTGGAATGAGCTTTCTGCCCTCCACTGCCTAGGCTGTAAGGATCCTCTGGCAAACTGCCACCCATAGTCACATGCATGTTGGCTCTGAACAAACAGTATTTGAATTCCCTAAGCGCCTCTGTTGGAAATTAACAGGCATATATCACCCTTCTAGCATGGAGCTACCAAAAGGTCTCTTCCTGAAGGGACGTTAGTCATGGTGATAGCTAAGATTTCACCTTCTGAAGGGATCTATTACTTTTTGTCCTGTGATTTAAGTTTCTTGTGATTTAAGAAATCTATGCTCTTGACACCCCAAACAAAGCAAGAGAGGACAATTACCTAGTAATTTTCCACATTCTCAGAGAAAGTCCTAAACAATGAAAGTTCAAAATCCCAACCAGCATAACTGGGAACACTTTATGCCTTATTAAGAAAGGAAGAGGCTAAAAACATCAGTAGCCAAGAACTTCTTGCTGGATATATTCAGTTTTTATTGCATGAACAAACTTAAATAAATGAAAAAATTATTTGGCTTTTTTGCATGCAGATCCCATCCCAGGTATGCTCAGGGTGTTCCTCTCTCCACATCCACAGGCTGAATTAGTTCTATTAGTACTATGCGGCTTGCTTTGATGAGAAGAGTCTGTAGGGAGGAGTTATGTGCTAAAGCGCAGCTTGAGATGGAAAGGGTACAGAAACAACCTACTGTTGACTGTAATTGAAATGACTGAAAAAGAATGTGGACTTGAACTGCCAATAATACTTGTCCAAAACTGTAATGCTTATGTATTCAGAAACTATACGTGTTAACATAGTACATTTGTGTCACATACACAAACCCAGAATTCATATCATAAATCAGTCATGCACTCAGCCAAATTATTGTTTAATGATGCAGCTTTGGTTACACACCTCCCTTATGCCCACTAATTAAAATCAACTTACCAGGTAACATTTTTTCGTGCCAAATGAGTAATATCCTCAAAAAAAAAAATAAAAATCATAGCATCAACTGTATGCATAATCAGAAACTTTTGTACATCAAGAATAGGTTTCAATTCTTCAAAGTTAGAAGAAGCAGGGAGACAATGAAGTTTATACAAGATAGAATTTTTTAGGATATATATAAAACTGTTAATAAATACTTGTAAAATAATGAGAGACTTGTCGATAGAGTAGCTGATGAAATTAAAAGATGATTCAGAGAAAATAATGGAAATAGAAAAAAAAAAAACAACCAAAATCAAACCATAGCCTCACATGCCTAGAGATGTGCTTTTTACCAAGTGTTGCCATTTTTCAGTAAGATACTGATGACTTTGTTGTTATTTCTTTGAAAATGATGACTCAGCACCTGACCACGGACAGGTGCTGAGTTAAGCAGATGCTTAAATTCTTTGCTGAATCAAGGTCAGCATGCTCAAAACTGGGATCAAGTCTAATGTCTGGCTTTACATTTGAAGGAATATCTCCAAGAGTATTTTTCTAAACTCCCAACCTAATCCTAGGAATGTCTGTTGTACCAGACATGGCATATCATAAAGATTTTATGACGATTACTTTCAAGTGACCTGCACTCTCTATTTCCTGGGTTTGTTCTGGGGAAGCCATGTTTCCACCATAGGCTTGTGCTAAGAAGCCTTTCTGCTGTTCCATCACCCAGCCAGCTCTCCAGCCAGCACCTTCTAAATTGGTAAATAGTCTGAGTAGCAGGCTAATGACTTCAAAGCATCTGATGGAGGTGGCCTGTTTCACTGCTACATTCTCAAGCTGATGGACTGGAACAATTAAAACCAAAATTATTGTATCTACTAAAATTATAAATTTAAAGCTTCAAAACGTTCCTACCTGCTTCCTTCCATTTCAAAACACAGTGAGTTAACTAGGCCTGACTCTCTGGCAGTGGTCCATTTAAATGGATAGATATGCCTACCTAACAAAGCCTTTTTGTTGCCTACAGCTGTGAAACTTTGGTGAAGTGTAACTTTTCATGTTTCCCAGGTTATCTTGGCACCAAACTGTGACTAAATTCTTGCAGATTTTTAACTCTGGCTTTGGAGTAATATAATATCCACAAGGAAGAATGATGGGTTTCAGTAAGTGCCCCATTGTAGCAAGAACAATGCTGAAAATCAGCTGTGCCTCAAATGTCCACAAAGCTTCTTGAAGACCTGTGGCTTAATAGAGAACTGCGCTCTCTGCTCTGCTCTCTTAGAGGCTGCATCACACTTGTCTTTTCTCCTGTTCCCCTTCCTGACATTATACCTGTTCAGCTCTGTCATCCAATGCAAAGGGAGGAAGGGACTGTGACATATCTTTTCATAAGAATTAGTTGTAAGGACCTACTGTATTTGAAGAAACTTTAAATTCTGGAGCTGATTTCCTGCTCCATGGGAAGAGATGGTTCTTTTGTCTTTGATTCCACAAGGGCAGAAAACAATTCCAAGCACATACACATATGGTGTTAATAAAACATCTTAAAGTAAAACAGAATATAACTTCACTAACATAACTACTTTGGGGAAATGTCCTTCCCATTTTTCGGTGACTGCAGAAGGTCCTAGAGGGATAAAATGAGAGTTGAGTCTGTGTCATATAGATTAAATCAGTAGAAAACATTTGCAAGTGATAGAACATTGGTCTATGGTAAAGTTCCAGAAGGTGCCTCCGTGTCTTATACAGTAGGGAATAATTATCAAGAAGGTTTTTTTTTATTTCCAACAGCTGTAACAAAAGGGCTTGAGGAATTACTGCATGATCACCTACAGACAGACCTAAGGGTCCTCTGCACTGGAGCCAAATATGAGGCAGTTCCAATCTAGAAGATAAACGTGGATGAACTATACTCAACCAAAGATACACCTCATATGACATATATACTATCAGCAGTGTTTTCTGAATGGTTCTTCTTCTGAGACATTCAGGGTCTTTTCCTGAGATATTTAAGACATCCCAGGGCAACACCTCCCTGTCAGTGAACCCCAAATGGGTACTACATTCATTATGGCACCAGATCTGAGAGAAATAAAAATTGGACAAAGACCAGGAAGAGCACATGGATGACTATGATTATGTACCATTCAAAGAATAATTTGACAAGCAATGAGGAGGTATAGGATTTAGCAGACAGCAATATGATTGGCAAAACTCTCACAAATATCATTCTATCATGTTTAGTGTGTGAGTTATTCCTGTCTAGAGCAAATGTAACTTAATTAACAAATCCTTAGAAATTTTTCTTGTTCATTATGCAACACTAAAACCATCACCATAAAATTGCATTTTTCAAAACATTAATTTTTTCTTCTTTGTATTTATTATTATCATAGTACCCAGACCATGTCATAAACCAAGTTCCCAATGTATTGACCACCTACACTCTGCAGAATAACAAACAGTCCCTGCCTGAAAGGACTAACAGCGTAATTAAATAAATTTATGGAAAACTCAGGCCCAAAGAAGCTACAAATGCTGTCTACATCAATGAGAGAGGCTGTGACAGAAGCTGTTGAAGAATTCCAGGATGAAATCTGGCATCACTGGAGTCAGTTGCAAAATTCTCATTATCTTCAGTGAAACCAGGACTGAAAACTGTTTGTTTCATAGCCCTTTGCTCAGACAACTCAACCCTGTCACTTCATAAGTTTTATTTCTCCTACTTGTTCTTTTGCACCAAATGCATTTTTCCTGTAACTTCTGTTTATGAACTTCTATAATATAATTAGGATACAACTATGTATAATTCTATTCGTCTCTGTCCATGTGTTCACTATTTAAAGTATGAAATCTTTCACAAGGATATATCCAAAATTTACACTGCAAGGCTTTTTCACAATATGTCCTGCTTTGAAATGCTATTTCAGTGCTTCTTGTTCTTTATCCTGCATTTCTATTGGTGTGTTTAATAAGACTCGGCTTTCAGATTTAGATTTCTTCTTTAAAATAAGGAGAATTATTGCACTTGGGATATAGGACGCTCCACGTAATATTGCTGGCAGGCCAAGATAAACCCACCTGAAATAAAGGATAAGCTTCATTAAATATATGCATTCATGAAAAAATAGCAAAATTATTCATCATACATTGTTTTACAACAACTGCCCTGTCACTCTAAAGCTTCTGCCCTGATCCTTTTGGATGTCACAGAAGAATCAACACGAGAAGAGAGAATATGTCAGTGTCACTGAAAAGGCTATTTACATCACCCAACTTCAGGCAACAAATTTAGCCAGCGTACCCTTATGTCTTTCTCAGCAGGTGAAAGAGAGTGCTCAGAGCACCTGATTAAAACTTCTGGGTATTCATGAGCTAACATTCTTTTCAAATCAACATTAACATAGTATTAAAAGGAATCAGCCTGAGGCCATTAGTCAACAAGACTTTTCTTCAAAATTCTCAGTGCTCCTTGAAGGACTACAAAAGCATACAGTGTAGTATCCTGGGCCAATTTCCAACTTGGGTAACTATATCCTCTCTATAAATTTATCCCCTATTTTAATCCAAGTACTGTTTTGACCATTTTCTTTTCAAAGATATTGCATAGGCAGCCATTAAACATTTTTCCTACAGGGCTTACTGCTTTTAATTTTTTTATCAGAATTCAGTGGTTTAAGGTCTGTTCTCATGACAGACCATTAGTGAATGTAATTATGGTATCAGAATATTTCTTTTCAAAGGGTGTTCCAACGTCTGTGGCAAAGGTTGCACTTGACAAATAAAGCCAATGCCAAAGAAAATTGTTGTGTCAAATCTCTAACACAGGAGCAGTTTATCTACTAGGAAAAGGTAAAGAGCATAAGATTAAATCTTTATGCATGTAATAATACAGTAAGAAGGAGAAATGAAAATAAAATTAATATATACCTATACGCAACAATGTCGTACATCCTACATGCTCCTTCTCCACCACAAGTCATAGCACCCCACCTCAAGCAAGTGGTATCTATCAAAGCTCCGAAATAAATGGGAGATGGAATTCCAGCTAAAAAGAATATTAGCAACATTTTTTTTTGTGAATATCATATTTCTTCTGATTAGCAGATACACTACAGAATCTATGCCGTTTCTCATCTACCCCATCTGTCCTGTCCTCCTGCAGCATGAATCATATTCTCTGTATTTCTTATGTTCTTTCTTCTTCCTTATCCACCTACCCTCAACCAAAGATTGTCTTGCCTGTTGCCTCTTTAACAATATGTACATGCTACAATATAGACTGTGATTCCTATTCAAAACTCAACATTTCCTGTCATCAGTGAGAGTGGGTGTTGTATTTGATACACATATAATAAGAGCAAAGGAACATAAATGGCTTTCAGATGAGCAGCAGATGTAGTCAGCGTGCTGAACCAGTATAAATAAATGCAAACTGAAAGCTGTCCTAATTTACTATGCTGCCTAGGATCTGTAAAAAACTCCAAATTCTTCCTGATCAGAGACACTCCATAAAAGTAGACTCCTGTGCCATGCCTGTAGCCCTGATGTGATCCTTATCTAACTCTAGATCAGACCTAACTGTGCTTCTGAAGTGTGTTAGAGCATTTCTTACCAAATACTCTTGAAGCTAGTCCATGGATACCCACTCCAAATGACTTTTCTTCAGGCTTTAGAGACCTGTATGATAATTACATTGTACACCAAGTAGTAGAGGTGACATTAATAAAAAATGTTTACATCTGTTCTGGTTTTTTAAATCAAACTCTTCATCAGATTAGGCCCAAACCATTCTAATTAAAGCATTGGTTGAAAGATTTAATTATCCTCATTAGGTGATGTTTACTGAAATTCCTTAGCTAGGACTGCCAAATCACAAAAGGTAAAGCTATTATCCTGGTATCATCCACTCGAACTGAGGCCAGGACAAAGCACAAAACAGCTGTGCCTTAATCACCGTCATGCTGATGTGAACAATAAACACATGGGTATCACACATATCTCAGTATCTCAGGGCACTGACTCAGTGGTCCTACATTAATTCAGGATAGAGCTGATAGACAAAAGTAACAACAAGTTATAAAGCTGACGTGACATTAAACCTTAACACAGCTCAGAAGTGACACAAAATCTTTCTATTCTTTCTCTCCATACACAAACTAACATACTTTTAATTCCTGGGAGTATTTGACATCAGAATAAAAAGTATAGTAGGTTTCTTAAGATAAGGACATTTTACCATACCTTATTAAGACCATGTACCCAGGCATGGCTGCTAAAGAAAAAAATGAAGCTGCAGACTAATGTCAATATTAAAAAATAATGAAGCATCTTCTCACAGTTTTCTTCTCTATCACACTGGCCCAAAATTGCAGAGACATTTGGAGATGAAAACTCTGAGGCTGCAACACAGGTGCAGTTTTCAAATACCTGTCAAGAGAGTATTTTAATCACACAGACTTGTCAAACTTCACACACCAAGTGTGAAACACAGCTGTTACCTAGCTCACTTTCTCCTGCACTTGAGTATCTCACACATGTGCAACACTGCACTGCAGCCTACCCCACTCTGCCAGGCATAGGTCCAGCCATCATCTCTATGTGGTGAGAGAGCAGGAGAGAACTACAGTCCTCTTACGCAGCTGAGACTGTGCTTCCTCAGAGTCCATGATCAAGAGAACCATCATATTTCCCAGCACAGCCTGGTTATGTGGTCCTTATAGTGCCAATAGATCTGACCCCTCTTTTTCATAACCTAGTGTGTGGTTGTTCATATGCCAGAAGATAAGAAACCAGAGACATGTGAGGCTGGGTTGCAATATTCTTACTCAAACACTTCCTTCTACTGAAATCAGGGAGACTAATGCTAGAATAAGGGCTCTCAAATGTCAGCCAAGGCAAGCAAGGTCTTCAGTGTCTGGTCCTTACTATCATCTAATACTTCTCTAAAATGTTTGTAAAGTACAAAGGCTTTCTAAAATCTGTATGATTAGGGGTTTTATTGAACTAATTATTTTCAATTGTTTTCAATCTAAGTAGAACTTTTTTTTTTTTTTATGGAAAATGTATTGTTAAGTAAGATAATAACATTTCTATAATACCTGGTTATTTGTTTAGATCTACAAGACAGAAGCGATTATTAGATCCATGTTATAGAATTTCATTTTGGCTGAAATTTTCTTGGGCACTCAGATTTCCAACTGTCAATACCTTGAGAATAATTTCTCACTCCATTTTGAGCATTTAAGATTCCTTCAATTATTAGAAGGAGGTTTCTTCATTATATTAGTTAATTTAAACTAATTTTCATATTGTTTGGAATTTCTGTTTCACTCAATGAATTTGTCCAGCTCTATTTATCACTTTATATATCCAATTAAATGTACACGTATGCATGTTTCCCACCCTATATTGATACGGATATTTCTTACCCACTATATTTCATAGTTACAGCACAATAAAATATATGCTTTACCATACTTTTTCCCATTCCTCTTGAGACTTTACACCCAGCAAGACAAGGTGACACATAAGTGATTCCATTGTTCCCACAAACAGGGTCCCATATTTTAAGTGGGCAATCACAATCCCTGTTGCAGCCAGCAAGTAGAGTATTTTCTGCATATGAAACTTGCTGTATTCTGAAATACATTTAGAAGATGAATAAATATTTTAGTAATGAAATACCTACAGTAAACTTTTGTAATAGTTAAGTTTCTATGTTGACCCGGGACACAATCCTACATGCTGCAATCCTTGAGTCATGCTTTTGTCTTTTTCTATAGGATGTTATACTACATTACATTATATCAATATTATCAATTCATAGATAGGTATGCACAGCCTACAACATTTTTCTCATCTGTGGCATGTATGTTCTTGATCGTCTTTAAGCATAACATATATACCTACATGTGCATTTTACACACACAACTCTTCCCAATGATTAATGGCAAGCTTCAAATCAAGAAACTGCAGATCAAATATCCTCTGTTAACTCAGTTCCAGTAAAGCAGAATAAGATAAAGAAAGGGTTTTATCCCTCTGTAATTGTGAAATTGCACTCATGTATGCCTAATTTTATCAACATTTTTTTCTTTTTATCTGTAGTTACATGACTTGAATGTACAATCAAATTAACAGAAGAATTCATATGGACATGCAATTGCATGAATCAGATATCTTCTTAAATACACTTTATTGTTTAAAACAAGGATAACAGAAGATAGATCTACTGTCTCATGCAAGTAAAAAGCCTTGAGAATTTAGATCATGAAACCAAAATGTTGCAAAGTTATGGAGTCTCTGGCTGATTTTTGACAAGAAAAATCATTCCAATGTCTTAAGTCCTCTTGTGTCTTAAAGAACATACCCTTCATAGGAAACTGTTAGGCCAGCAACTTGTGAAATATCACAGATAGTCCAATAGGCAGCAAAGTAGAGAAGGTAGTCCAGCAAAGATACCCAAAATGCTATGTTCGCAGCCTCATAGGTATTTATCTTGAGTTTCTTCATGAATAAGCCTCCAAAAAAATACCCAACGCATATAACTGGTAAATTGTAGACACCTATTTAAACAAGTGAAACTTCCATGTTAAAATAAAGGAGACCAAATCCACTCATAATGAAAGACTGTGTTTGAAAAAGACTCATATAAAGCCTGTGACTGAATAGTTTACCTGCAGTCAGAAATGGGTCTCTACTAGTTCCCTTGCACACTCAAAATATCTGCAATAGTCAACAGCATTTGGGAACTGCTTGGAGATTGAGCTAGAGGGTAGGACTGAAATGATTAATTGGAAAATTGCAAACTACAGTTGCTATGTAGTTCCAATACAGGCGCGCGCACACACACACACACGCACAAAAAAAAAAAAAAAAAAAAAAAAGGGTTTCAATACAGTCTCCCTATCAATACAGCCTCCCTAGATGAGAGAGAAACTCAACAGGAAGATAAGCTAGTGAAGCACACCTTGGTGTACACTGAGCATCACAGAAAGGAGGAACAGACTTTCATATGGGATTACTGAATGTGCTCTCATGCTTCTTTGCTGTTTGATACTTTAATGAAGCTAAGATTGACTGAAAGACATTTAGGAAGTAGTTTTACAAAAGCATCATATGGCTTAGTTGACTTTGCTCAAGACAACATGAAGAATGTGAGAATAAGTGAAGACTATTAAATTTGAATTTAGATCCTCTCAACATACTATATATTTCAGCACAGAAAAGAGTCTGTCTAAAATACAACCCAGCAGTGCAATGTCAATACAACACAGGTAAAATATATGATAGTTACATGCCTTTGGATGCACAGCTTCAAAATGCTGGTAACAGAGGACAATATTAATTCTCACAAGGTCTGGGACATTCTGTGTGGCAGGTTTTAAAGAAAATGGTGCAGCTACTGTGAAAGATGAGCACTGAGTTAGGGAACAGAGGTTTGGCTAGATGTATTTTAAGATGATTATTCTATAATGATTAAAAAAATTCTAGCCTAAGTCACTGCACAAGGGAACACTGAGAATTTAAGACATGATAAAGTGGAACGATAGAAAGGCTTCTGCAGATACAGGATGTTTGCTTTGTGCTGCAAGTACTTGCCATTTCCATTTTCCAATGCATGAACACCCTGTCCTCACTTATAAAAAAGACAAGCTAATAAAGAGACAAGAAAACCCAAGGTAATAAACAGACAAAAAAAAAAAAAAAAAAAAAAAAAAAAAAAAAAAAAAAAAAAAAAAGACAGATATTTGCACAGCGCTTTCCATCCATGGAGTTCTGCATATGAAAGAAGATCTGAGGCTTTCAGATGGCCCTAAGGAGTTGAATTCATGGAAAGTGTTGAAGATCACTGGCAGTTTTAGCTGTGCATAGGTTCAACACATCTATGTTTTAAGACTGCTAGTGATGTCATTTTCACAAACATGAAATCTACCCTCTATCTTTAACTTTTATCTGCTTTACCTTTAAATCTAACCTCTACTTTTTAATCAAGATAATATAAACATTGGGCCCACACTCTTGATGTAAATTAGCATAACCTCTTTGAGATCCGTGGTGCAAGTTTCATATCAGCGGAACTTTCTGGGCCAATTCAAAAGATGGGAAGTAGATAATAAAATTCTGCACAGAAAAGAGCTGCTTAGCAGAAAATGCATGATTGATTAGAAATGCTTTGTAGCATGGAATCCCTAATTTATAGAAGCATTTGACCTTAGTATACGTATGTATACATGTACACATTAAAAAAGTATAAATAAATATAGAGAATTTGCTACTTGATGGAACATCACTACTTGGTAGAACAGAGCAAAGCAAAATGCAAACGTACCAATTAAAAAGATGGCATCTGATGCAGATTTTCCAAACTGCTGTTCCAGAAATTTGGGCATGAAGGATATCATGCCATTGAAGGCACTGAACTGTAACACAGTTATGCATATAAATAACATATAAACTGTGTTGCGAAACAAAGCCTTGAGGAAGGGGATGAAATCTGGAATGAAATAATGTAATGAGTTAGTGTGATGCTTTATGAAAAGAATCATCCATTGCTCAGTGTGGCTGAGGGCAGAAGAGGGGAACAAAAACGGTCCTTAGCTGGACCAGGCTAATTCCTGTGCTTTGGCAGACACCAAAGGCCAAAGATTACTTGCTTAACCTAGGCTACCCCAACATGTTTCTTCTACACAAAGATAACCTAGCACACACACATGTACACCAATGCATGCTGCTGCTTGTAAAAAAATCACAGTAATAACCTTATTATAGAAGTTTCCTGAAGCTTTTTATCTCTACGTTAACTAAACTTTGCACCCACAGATTTGCAGCATCAGCTACTCCCCATCTTCCCTACTCCTTTTTCTTTCATCCCATGCCCCCAGAGCATTCACAAAAACCCCTTTCCTGCCCCTGGCATGCAAAGGGAGTACAAGGAGGCAAGAGTGCAAACACAATATATAGCTGTGACAACCTGCCCCCCAGAGACTTGATCATTGATTTTGGTGATTGCTACTGCCAGTGATGGGGCAGAAGAGTCCTGAAAAGAGACATGACTGTACTTATTCCCACCATACTCCAAAGTCTGGATCTGTCAGTCTCCAGCCAAGTAAGCATTTGAGAAACTAATTTACACAGGTCTTTTCTCTGCATAATGCCTATTAAGTCAGGATCTGAACCATAAAAACCCCCACAATTCCTCTTTGTCTAATGTTCTCTCTTAATTAATGTGCTGAGCTATTGTCAAGAAACTCTGCAGAAAAACATAAGCATCTGTAAAATAATGACCATGCTTCACTGAAAGTGGGCACTGTTTGGGACAGATCTTTCAGAGTATCTTATTAGGAGAGGATCTGTATGCAAGCCTTGCAAAAATGAATCAAATATCTGAAACATTTTATAAATAGGCTGTATTATTTATATATGCCATGTAGTTTGTAATCAGAGCTTTCTGAGGAGGTGATTTATTTTAACTATAACTACTTTAATTTTCAACTTGAAATCCTTGGTGATTAAAAAGCTGTCTGAACACATCCCAGTCAACTACCTGTAAGTGGCCCTGCCTGAGCAAGGGATTGGACCAGGTGACCTCCAGAGGTCTCTTCCAACCTCAAACATTCTGTGAAATTAAAAGATTTTTAATTCAGGATATTCAGGGGCAGTGGACATTCACACCACCACAGGGAGGGAATGATGGTGAAAACATAAGGGAAAACATAAGGAACACTGGAATATTAGGACCCACAGTCTGGGCGAGGAACCTTTCCGCACCAGAGTAGTACTTTATTAATGGATTCATTTAAGGCTCTATGACAGCAGAAAAAGATGCCATGTTTATTAAAATGAAGCTGCAATATCAGCTAAGATCCAAGTACTCACTTTGAGTATGGTGTATTTGCAAGACTTAGCTTGAAACACCTTGGAGAAGTAGCTGGTGCTTGGTACTTTCTGAAAATGAAGATGCTGTCAAGGGGCCCTAAGCTGGGTATACAGAATCACAAGACTACTCTGAAAATCACAGCCTTTGACATATTTTATTCACTTATGTTTATTCACTTACATGACCATTAAAATGGAAGGAAAAAAATAACAAATAGCTTCCTATAGATATATAGATCTGAAAGGCCACAGATGTGAAAGTTGACAATAGTAGCATGTAAGTCAAATAGATCTTTGTTCAACAGCTGTTACATGTTTATGAGAGATGTCAATTCCCTTTTATAGATTTAAATTAGACTCAAGAAATACACAAGACTTGTGTTGGTTTTCTGATTTCCTGCACAGTGAATGTGGGGTACAAGCACTAATATATGCAACTTGTCCACAGCTTACTGAGTTGTATTATTCTTAACCAGATTTCAATGCTTTACTACCAGGAAGAAAAGATTCAGATCTACATCCACTTGAAATGCAAGAGGGGGAAAGGATTCAGATCCTGGATCTATGAAATTAGCTTTCTTCCTCTGTGAGAAGCCGTTCTAAATCCCTGCACAAATCCTTTGTCCTACAGAGAGCTGAAAACCAAAATATGCATTTCATACTTTGAACACATCTTTACTTATAATAATACACAGACATAGTTCACACCTTAAAGACTAAATTAAGAAGGAAATAAAATACAATATAACTTGCCTTTAGCAACTTCATATATGGTCTGTTTGGCTTAATTTTTATCATTTTCTTGCAATGGTAGTATACTTGTTTCACTCATCTCCTCAGGTTGATTTTTTTCTCCTTCCTTCACAAGAGACTTTGGCAAAAACCAGAAAGGTATTCCCACAAGAAGATTTAGTAATGCACAAAACAAAATGCCCAGCCACCATGCTCCAACCCAGCGGAAAAAAAAAAAAAAAAAAAAAAAAAAAAAAAAAGCAAAACAAACACCACACATATTAGTTCAGAAACATTCTTTGATGTCATTGTGTGTTTTCCTAGTCATCTCTGAAGTGTGATATATTAAAAACAGTTTAAAGATTCCTAAAATGAGGCTGATGAAAGAGAATAGTCTCCAGCCTTCTTTTCTCATGTTACTAATTTTCTGGCAAATTTCAGTATTAAATTAATTCTAGTCCTTTCCTATGTTAAGCCAGATGACACAATTGTTCATCAGATACTTTATATACAGATTCATTTATGCATGTGTGAATTCAAGCCTTCTATTGAGTTTAATATTATACACAGATTTTCCATTCTAAAAGAAACACCAGCAAAGTCAGATAGAATTAAGACAACTCATATGAGCATAGTTCTGATAAATACACCATCATGCCTACCAATTTATGTGTAAGATTTTATATATTCATCTATTACCTGCATCTACTGATCCCAGATCAACAAACAGCTCTGCACAGAATGATGCCAACAAGAAACCAAGGAAGGGGCCTATTACAGTTGCTGTATGTAGACATCCTAAAGTGTGAAAAGGAGAAAACATACTAAATTAGAACCCAGACATTATATATGATTGGAATAATTATATATGTTTAGGACAGCGCTACTGAATAGACTTTTGGGCCTAAAAATGGCCTCATTTCAACACGTTCACCCCTAGCTAAATTGCAATTTCTACACTATAATTATTTTGATAAGGCAATAATATCTGTCTTTTCTTTTTCTTTATTTTACTGAAGGGAGTCATAATAATCCTCTCATTTGCTTTTGCTTATGTATGTATTTGTTTGGGAGAGAACAGTTATCACAATGGGGTAGATTTACCCAGGTAGAAAGGTGAATTCTCTGCTTTGGCAAAATCCTCCAAATATGAAATGCCTAAGGGCATGATGGGAGTTTCACCCATTCCTCGTACTATGTTTCCAACCATCACAAATATCCACAGCAAGGACCTAGGCTCTTTTTCACATTCTGCAAATAAAATGAAAAAGCCAGAATTAATGTTTTAATTCCAACTATTAATTGAATTATAGAGACAAAGAATTGACTAACAGTTAAACTTTGGTTTATAGATCTGTCCTGTAAAACAGGGAAATAAGTAGTCACAATACTTGAAAGGCTCCAGAACTGGAAGAAGCTACTGCACTTGCTAGAGTAAAGTTTAAGTCCTTTCCCTCTCCACGCCATACCTTGTCCAACCACCTGGCAGTCCAACCCCTGCATAACCTAGGCCCTTTCCTTTACTCATTTCCCTCACCAAAACTGCCATTTTCACATCAGTGAAGACAGTGCCTTAACATCAGTGACGAAAGGATGAAAAATCATGCCTGACTAACCTGATCACCTTCTACAACACAGTAATACATTCTGTCTACATGGGGAGGGCAGTGGGTGTTTTTTACCTGCATTTTAGCAAAGCTTTTGCCACTGTTTCACATAGCCTCCTCCTAGACAAACTGGCAAGATACAGACTGGATGGGCAGTCTGTGAGACGGGTGGGAATTTAGTTCACAGGCCACACTCAGAGGGTGATGATCAATGGCTTTTACTCAGGCTGGCAGCCTGTCACAACTGGGGTCCCCCAGGGACCAACAGTGGCCTCCACACTATTCAACATCTTCATAAATGATCTGGATGATGGGACTGAAAGCCCTCTCACTAAATCTGATGATGCCAAACTGGGTGGTGAGGCAGACACATGAGGAGGGAGAGACATCTTACAGGGAGACCTGAACAGGCTGAAAGAGTGGGCTAGCAAGAATAGTACGACCACCTTCCTGAAATTCAGGAGTCTGTTGCAATGATTCAGGTAATTGTTGCATAAAGCCCATACATTGTCACTTGATTATAAGAACATTGTCCGAAATAAACCAGAAGACTTCCAGATTTCACAGTGAGCCACCATTTGCTTACAAGAAAGCTGTGCCAGTGCAGAAGCTGTGGTGTTGTTCTACCCTTGCATGGAATGAGATTCCTGAGCTTTTCAGCTTCTTTGCTTTGATTCAGAATGCTAACTTCTGGTTTACTAATGTTTATAAACACCCAGAAAAGCACATGGAAAGTAGATCTGTCTGTGTTTTTTGTCATATGTTATTATTTAATCAGCTGTTTGCTGGTAATGTCAACCAGCACTCTGTACAACAGTCCTTACTGCCTAGAAACCCCAGCTTACACCCTTGCCTCAAAGCTCTATTCTACCACTACAGATTTTTGCCTTGCATATCAATGACCTCCCTAACCAGAAATTTTATCTGTCCTGATGCGATCTGTTTGGGTATTCAATTTCAGATTTGGGACATCTTGAGAACAACGCAAATTCTGATTTGGAAAATAATATACAAATTCTACTGTAATTGGTGCATGTCACCAAACGTCACAGAAAGATTTTCTACCTCCATCATATCTCTGCAACTCAAGTCAGCATTTCCCTGAGCAGGCCCACAGTCTGCTTGTCTGGGCACTGCTCTGACTCACTGTGACCTTTATACAACTCTCAATCAAAATCAAGATCCATAACAATATATCCGGCCCGTCTAGTGAATATATCTGGGGATCTAGCTCTCATTTATTTACATCTGTCCTCCTACATAGCTCAGCAGAAGAATACCATGCTACAGCACAGTCCTGTTTGCCCCACATCAGGACAGTTATATCAGAAACTGCATGACCTTTCGCACTTTCTTTCTCTCCCTGAATTTGGATTTCTTCATCCCATACAGTCTGCTTCAGATTCCACTGTTCTCTATGGTCCACTTTGTCATGCTGAGACTTCTCAATACCCATTTGTTAGCAAATAAAAAACAGCTTTGTTAGCAGCAATTGATTAATTTCTAAATAAAAGCATTACTGTCTAGAGATCAAGCCTGGATCTCCTGTATCAATGTCAGATTGCTGCCAGCAAACATGGGTGAAGCAATCCATATGCAGATGTCAAATTCAAACCAGTTTTGCATCACACAAGAGTTGAACTCATATGTACGAACATCACAGTTTTACTTGTCCACAAACTAACAGGGAAACAATCACCTTACCCAAGTATAGTCATAGGCTTGAGGACCTATAGGTTCTAATGTGTGTAGAATGGCTATGTAATTTAGAAGAAAATGCTTTACCATAATTTGTGCATTTATAAAATGAAGAAAAAGAATATCTGAAATCTTCAAATGAAAGATTAATATCGCTATCAAGTGCACCTTTCTCAACTTTTCCTTGTGAAGATGGAAAAATTAATACCTTAAGTGATATGCAGTCTTGGAAAATTGGGAAGCCACATATGTTACTAAATGGAAACACAGTAAACTACAACACAATACCACCATAGTTTGATGTCACTGTATGCATACAATGTTACAGCACTGTGATTCAACTTTAGCACACATTGATGGAACACCTTCACAAAATATAACAATTAACTGTGGGGTTCATCTCACCTAACTTCTGCCATCCACCAATCATCTAAGTTTCCAACAGTTTGTAGGTGCATCCAGGAGGTAATCTGACCCATCCTAAAATAAAGAGCATGAATGTCCTTACAGCAAGGGACACACTCTGCAAGAGCTCTGTATTCTCCTTTGACCAACTATCAAAGGAGCCTAAAGAAATGGTTCAGACTAAATGTTTCTTTCTGAGGTAGCCAGAGACTCAGGAGACTAATACCATCCTCAGTGTGAGGACTTCATGTATGATCATTTAAGAGTTTCCACCAAGCCTTTTGTGTTGATAGTAGTTACTTTATATGCATATTGCTAGTTTCAGTCTCCCAGAGAAACTTAGCCTAGTTTAAACTATTTTCTCAAAAAGGAAGTGGGATCTAGGTTTTTGACCTAGCTCTATTTCTCATTCTTTTATTTCTTGTGTGGTACAATGAAAAAGCATCCTGACTCTTTTTACCCATTGTCCAAATACATTTCCCACCTCCTCACAGTATCATAGTATTTCAGGTCAAAGAGAGGAACATTTGTGAGAACAACCTGGTATTGTTTTTCCCCAAAATGGATTGACAGGGACGTTAACTGAGCTGTTCAGATGATGTGAAAACTGCATGAAAAAAAAGCTACAGCTCTGGAGTCTCAGAAAAGAAACCAGAAGGCTAGGAATTTTCCTGACCTATAGTTTTATGCCTGCTAAAATTACTGCTCAAAATCAGGACCCTGAAATAATTGCTAATAAAAATAAAATGTTATTTCTTAAACACTATAAAAACTGAGGAAAAAGTATTAGCAGACATAGGAAAAGTCATACCTGTTGATGGTTCCTCTGTAGGTAAAGAGAACAAGCTTTGATTAGCAAGGCACAGAGGCATGACTGAAAAATTCTCCCATTGTGAAATACTGCTTTCAATATGATACCTGTTTGAATCAAAGGAAAGCATGTATAGATTAAGAAGAAATACATCAGAAGCACCTCATAAATCTGTACTTCAGTAATGAAGCTACCTATAAGAGTGTGTAGCTGTAGGAAGAAGGAAACCCATGTCAAAAGTTAACTGAGCCTTAGTAACAAATCAGGCTAGGAACAAAGGAACAGTAGCAGGGAATCAACCCAGTGTTTTATCCAGACTGTTACACAGTCTCTAATATAATCTTGTAACAGATGCTTTAGGAGGGAAGGAGTTGATGAAATACCTTAATGGAATCCCTTGTATCACCTTCTCTCCTATTCTTTTTAGATTCTACTCCAATTTACACCCTAAGCAGTGTGCGCCACCAAGAATGTGGTGTACCACACCTAACATAAAAAGATTAGACGATCTTCTTTTCTCAAAACACATCTCACTGATTAAAATATGGACAAGCCTAAATTATTATTTTCCTGAGCCATGAAAAAATAGTGAAAAGGTGGTTAAAGAATCATTATGGTCTGTAAAGGCCTTGCCAACACAGCAATCAGGTATAACCTGTTATCCAGGCTCCAGACCAAAGAGATCTTTAAAAATCACTTTGTATTGCCCATCCAAGCAGATAAGAGCTAGTAGTGTAATGTGACAGTATCACAGGCGACTCTTTCTTCAGAGAGTCCACACAAGAGGTAACACAAGGATGAAGGCAAGGGCAAGGGAAGGTGCCTGGCAGAGGGGTAACTCTCTTCAGGAAATGACGACTGACTTATGAAGCCATCTCAGAAGCAAAACAAAACAAGCTGCTCTACAATTATCATATTTTGTACCCATGTTCCACAATGTCTGTCTCAATAAGCAATACTATTCATTGGGAGAATTAATAGATTAAAGCAAGTAAGCATTACAGAAGCTGCTGTGAGCTGAGCAAAATACTCACCTTCCAAACAGGAAATGAGGAAGTGATATCAAAAGACATCCAAATGACAGGATTGTGCAGCCCAAAGCAATTATTCTGGGTCTGTGAAGCTTTGCTCCAAAGTAACTCACAAATGCTATCAGCAGCAAGTTGCCTGCAAAAAGAACCTAGTTCATATCTACAAACCAAGACATCCTTATATCACATTTAAAGTGCAACACAAATTTGAATATATCTTGTTAGCTCAACATCTATTACTTCTCTTGTCTTGTAAAAACTGTAACTAGACAGGGAATTGTGTAAATGATGCAGCAATTCCCTGCTATCTGTGATCCTTTTCTGGAAGAGTTACACCATGTGGAAAGAACATGAGAATAAAAGGCAGAATGGAAAAGAGGTCATGGCGAGAGAGATTTTTGACTGCACCTATGTAGAGAAGAATTTTCTTACTAATTTGCATAGGGACCAGTCCCAGGGGCTGCAGAATAACAGCTGTTTTATGAAGTTATTCTAGGATATTTTGCAATGTGTGGGAAAATACAGAAGTATATATCAAGTGTTTTTGTACTGAAAACAATAAACAAAAAATAACATACAGAGAAAAAAGAAATAATAAATTAATATTAATTTCAGTAATAGCTCAAGAGGAACAATACAGATTTTTGTATCTAGTACCATTTAAAATTCAAATGTGCTAAAAATCTTCAACTTCTCCTCCTCCACTTTCATTTCAAAATCAGCTGATATTCTCTACTCTTCGTTTATTGCTATGCAACTAAGGAATCAAACTTCCTGTTATGAATCAGGCCCCACAAAAATAGCAGTTTAGTAATCATACACCTACTAATTTTGTGATCTTTTTGTCAAAAGAACAAATCCATGTCTCTGAGTGATGAGCATCATGCTCTGAAAGGAGATAACATCTTTTTTTTATGTATGATTGAACCAGACTATTGAACCAGTGGTTTCAATGACGCTTAAAGATGTACACTTGCACGGTCCCAATACATTACGTATGTCTACCACATACACTGACTCTTAATCATTTCAAATATTACTATGATTATTTACAGTTATTTTACATCCTTTGAGATAAGAATGACACAACTTGTTATAGAAAAGTGCATATGGGAGAATTATTTATTTAAAATAATAAACCTTTTACATACCACTTCATTAATCTTGGCTATTTTATATTTCTTAAAGTCTCCTCCTTACCAAAAGCAAGAATATATTCTGGATATTCCTTCTCTATCATAACTTTGAGCTGCCCCATCAGACTGCTTTGCAGGCAGCAACATGGTGTTCCAGCAGTTTCTTATTCTTGCACAAGCAGATATAGGAGACAAGAAAAAGGGGGAGAAGGAGCCCTGTCTCCTCTCTCAGTCAGTGTTTATCAGCCTGTGCAGACCTTTTCCTCAGTTGAGCCAGGGATAAAAGGATCCATGTTGTGACTTTAAGGGTATAAAACATATCCTCTGAGGAACCTTATTTAGATGGTTTTGAAGATATCAAGTCTTTTGTTTGGCTTTTGTGGCAATAACAAGACATAAACTTGTGACTGGGCAATGAAACTCATTGATAGACAAAGTAAGCATCACTAAAAGCAGAACTGGAAACTTTCTTTACAATTGTACAGGTACAACATCTTGAAATGTTATTGAGTTGAATAAAGAGACAATCCACTCCAACCAACTTTGAGGTCACTAATTAAAAGAACTGTAAAATGGTAAATATGACCCTAAATTCAAACAAGGTTAATAAAATCTTTCTGTTTTGTTCAGAAAGATTCAATAGAAAGCTCATAAACTAGCTCTATGTTAGTTGTTCTGTCATATAATATAGCAGAAATTAGCTGAACCTCCTTTTAATCCTAAACTTCGCCACTGAAGTTGTTCTGTTAGTTTCCAAGACACTAAATGCGTAAGTACTGGCTGAAATGCTAGGATAGTTGGTCACCGTTGTCACAAACAGTAATCAACAGATTGCTATGTACATACGAGTCACTAATACATGCTCAGACAACATATATTTTGAAATAATAGGAAATATTAAAACTAGTGATTACCAATTTCAAAGCTTCCATTAATGATCCCAACTAAAGAAGCTGGAATATTAAATTGTTTCTCTATCTGTGTGTACATGCTGTTCATGTAAGCACCAGACATCGTTTTACCGACAAATGCAAGTGATAGTGCCAGCAGAAATACCTAGAAGGGAAAAAGGACAATGTATAAAGAATTCAAGATTATATATTTAGGAATATTTCATGATTATTTTCCCCAAATATGTGTTTTCAGGTAAAACAAGTGAACAGTTCTGTTCCACTGATATGAGCGTAAATCCCATCATCTATCCTTGTCCCGACAGTTAAGGCTTCACTAAACCAAAGGGGAAAAAAAAAAAAAATTTGGGATTTTTGTTCTTCACCTGCTCCCATTGACCAAGACTGTCCTCAGAAACCTTAAGCCCCATTTCCCCAGCCAAGGCAAGGTGCAGCCTCTCTCCCATGTGTGCCTGCGGCAAGATTGCCATCTGCAGGACTGAATAACTTCTGCAGCCAGACCAGGATGCAAAGACCTTCGCACCCTTTGCTCAGCTGAATGACAAACTACTTGCAGAACTAAGATTGTTCCCTTTGTTCGAGTTACTAGACCGAGTATCTGCTCTCCTGTCTCAGTAGATGTCATGAGCTCACAACAAATCAAATCAAAAAGGAGTAAATAGCGTGTCCTTTCTACAAGAATCTAGTAGTAATTGAAAGTAAAAAGTAAGTATGAATATATGCAGTAATATTCAAATCCTTTCAGCTACAGGGTTCTTTAATAAACAGTATTTATAAAATGAAATCAATAGTATTTTTAAATATATGCTGCCAATGCTAAATAGTATAAGTAATGTATTTGGGCTCTGAATTACTATGAAAACCAAGCTATTTTACAACCTTCTATAGCACTTCTTGACAACTTGAATAGTCTAGGGCAGGGTTTCTCAACCTTTATTTCACCACGGACTCCCTTTAAATTCCTTTTGTGGCCACGGACCACCAATTTGAAGCACTAAACTGCCTTGAGGTGCGGCACTGGGACTGGGAGAAAACCTGCACACTTGTTACCAGAGGCCAGCCCTGAAGAGCCCAGAGACAGAAGGACTTGCTGGTGAATCTGAGGGCCAAGGGGAGAGTCACCCGGCAAAGGTGAGGGTGCTGCTACCTCTCACGCATGTCAGGGCGGGGTGGGGGGAACTTGAGTATGAGAGGAGCATTGAGGAGAGGGGGCTGTGGGAAAAGGAGGTGCAGTGCTTGCCACGGGTCAGACAAAAGTTTCCAGGCTGGGTGTTCCTGACCCCTGCTTTAAGCCTTTGGCATACTCCCTGTGATGACATCACAGCCCCTCAGGGGTCTGCAAACCACAGGTTGAGAACTAATGGTCTAGGGTACATCGACAGCTAATTTTTACTGCCATTTTGCAATCAGTAGGGCTCATTTCACGGGTTTAAGGAGGAAAGGTAAACATGTCAGACCAGGGGGATTACACAAATTGAAAGGTGGAGATTCAAAGGAGCAATCACGGATACCTCCAACACATCACAGAGTGTAAAGTTCAGGGACATAAAAAGCAACACATGCTTGCTTACAAACTTGTTTAACCTTCATTAAGGCATTAAGGATAAGAAATGAAGTTTATTCATTCGTTTAGTCTAGACTGTAACTTCTACCAAACCACTGTAAGTGCAAACAATTACAGTTGTGTGTTCATACAAAACTGTTAAAATATTTCTCTACCTTCAGCTTGGAAATGCAGCAGAATTTGTCCCCTGCACATGGCTTCTTAGCTTCTTTCATGTTGCATCCGAGTCTGTCCAATGATTGCATTATAGTGTCAAAAAAGATGAAAGAAAAGAAGAAACATTTTTGTCCCATGTTTGCAAAGTCAGATTCCTTCTAAAATACTTGATATTTGAGTGTCTTCCTTAAATAATTGCAAACTGGATTATAACAAAAGCTACAAGCCTATACACTTCATTCTAATAAAGAAAATATGACATGGGAATATCAACAATGTAACAGCTAGCTCTTTCTCTTCAGATACTGGATACTGCCAGCAGCAGACAACCAATAAGCAAAGAAACAGAGAAAAGACACATACTGAGGGCAAGCTAGTGTCTGTAATACAGCTCTTCAGTCCTCTTCGCACGTATTTGGTACTGATCACTGTGGGAGACAGGAGAATTAAGACCTATATGTTTGACTAATGTATACCCGTCTCCATGGTTTTTATTTGCTATGCCTGTCCTTGCTAGTCTTTAAAAGGACATTTATTTCTGCTCTTCATGTTCTGTTAAGCTCTCCCCTCTTCCACTGCCACCAATGTAAATTTGTTAATTTTAATAGAAACTGTATTGAAGACTAATCTCTTGGCATTAAAATTAGAAGGAGAAAAAATAAAACCAAAACCACCAGACCAACTTAAGTTCTAAAAGGAAACAAATCAAACCATTCTACTTCCTCTCCCAAGATTTGCAAAACATCCCTCTTTGTCTGCCTACTTTTAATCATCTCCATTTCAACCTAATGGTTAGAACTTCTAATAATATTAAGCCACCTGCTTTCTTACACATCTTACATATTTCCCAAAAATGTGTTCAAAGAAGGACGTGGAATATACTTACCTGTAAAATCCCCTACACATCCGAAGGTTAGCAAAATGAATTAAAGAGGGAGAACACCAGTTTAAAGAAGATTTATTTCTAAGGACTGCCACAGTCTTCATTAAATTAAGTTATTCCCTCTGCCTAATGGGGTAAGATAAAGTTAGAGCCCTACATTATAGTCAAGAGGGATATAGGTTAATTTCCTCTTTCATCTTGGATACATTTTCCAAGTGCAATCTTGCAGCACCTGCTCTTCTCTATCTTTTCCACTTCATGGAGCTGGAAAGCAAGCTGTCCTTGACAAGCCCACCAATAGCACTGAATTGCCTTTCATATTCAACCCAACACCCTCTCAATCAATTTCTTCCAACACTAATTTCTACATTAATCCTCTCAAATGTGTTTCTTAACTAACTTGATACCTAGCAAATTCATGGGCATTAATTCCATCTACAGCTACCTTCTCATTTCAGGTCTCTAAAAGTGTAATGCATTAGTATAGCATTCCTGGGAATACTTATTTAAACACTTAAGTGTAAGTGGTCAGCGACTCGGACAATTAACTATGATATAAATAGTTTGTGCTTTTGCTTTACTTGCAGATGCTTACACAAACTGTGTTCAAGCACAGTACTAAACTGTGTTCATACAGCTTTGCACTTTCTTTGCAGTTTGGCATAAAATGTTACATCCCAGGGAATGGTTTATGCCTTATGTTAATACTGCTTTATTCAGAATGTGGCTCACCAGCAATGCCAAAATGTAAGCAACAGAACAAAGACTGCCGTCCTCTATGTCTGTGCTCCTCTGCTCCTAGGAGCTGGCAATAGGATTCTGTCCCTTACTACATCAGCCCCTGCATTTCACTAACATACACAGGGAACATCATCTGGGTAATTACAGGTTTTCTCTTCTGGTGCTAAAAGAAACCATCCAGCAACCTCTGCCCAAGTTTCTCTTGGGTCATCAGACGTATCACACAGCCCCTCATACAATTATAGATGACAAAATGGCAATTTTTGTCCTTACTTATTATTAACTTTGCTCAACGCATAAATTATGATAGAAAAGTACATTTCAATCCATTTTTTTACTGGAATTTATTTTTTACTGTTATTATTAGCTGAATAACAAAATAGGCAGAATTATTTCCAGCTATGTTCCTGAGGTTCCTTTCCCCAGCTTTCAAATATTTTTGTGGTCACACTTGGTCAAATGGAACTGAAGCCAACACAGATTAACAGCCTAGATTATCAGAGAGATGTAGGTGCATAATTCACTTAGCTCAGGTGCATTTACAGCACACTTTAAATCTAGGTTAGAACTCAGACTACATTTCTGTACCTAAAGATAAACCAGTATTGTTCCCATGCCCTTCTCCCATCTGCCTGCTTTCTTTTGTATATTCCTGTTGCTTACCTTTCTTCCACTCTGGCACTCTCCATACTCTTCTGCAAACCTGTTTAACTCATTGAAAAAGATTGCTCTCCATGTTGAGTGAGCTGATCTAGCCCACAGAGTGGTTGAACAAGCGTCAGACCAACATAAGAAAAAGAGATGGAATGTGGAGCCAAGAACATAAGAAGAGAGAAGAAAATGGGAGTGAAAGCAGAGTAGGAAAGGATGGAGAGTGAAACCTGCACATCTGAACACCAGTCATGTGTTACGTCACCGCAAATATTTGTGGAACTACGGTCTCAAGCCCTAACCTCAACTGCCCAGGCCAGCCCTGAACACAGCTGGCCTTCTAGGATCAGCACAGCTGTAAGAAAATTACCTCCTTCAGTGACCATCAATCAGTCTCTTTTTAGCCAACACCAAGAGGAGAAGCAGCTTATGCTACTAGGACAGTCACATCATTACTAGGTTTTGTAACAAGCCACAGGAGGAATTTGCACAGGCCAGGTGAGACTATATATTTATGCAAAAGTTTGCCCTCAGGTTCTGACTGACCTACCCACTATCATGTAAACACCTACACTTAAATCCTACTCATAAGTCTGTGATGTCCACTGAAATTTCAGGGAAGACATCAGTAAAATCCCTCCTTACAGGACCTTACTCCTTGCACTTCTGCACTGAAGTTGTGAACATATTTATGACAGGCTAAGAAGTTAGTTAGCAGTAACATCACAACTGCCTCTTCCAGCCATCTCCACTACTGGACTAAATTTCCACAGGCAACCAGAAAAACAGAGAAGTAATCAGAAAACACCCACTTTACATTGTGCACAAAGAACTAAAGCTCACAGTGTGAGCAGTTTCAGTACAGGCTACAGCTACAAAGCAGATGCATAAAGTACAGCGTCTCGTATAACTTGGGCTGAACAAGGTTGGCTTACAAAGAAGATACATCCAGTGTGGATCAAAGCAGGCTTATTCAGTGTAGCTGACAACAGCAGGAAGGCTAGCACTGAGACATATGAGTTTGGACCCATTTGTCCTACATAAACCTGTAAATACATTTTACAGTTTTAAACCACATTTCACCTTAGCTAACCAATAAAAAGGAGAACAAAAGCACACAAATATCTGCATTTAAATGTCTATAAAACAATATTCTGCAAGTTGCATTGCCTGAGTGCCAATGGGACATCCTATTTTCAATGTAAAATCCATTTTCCATTTGGCTGATCTTAGTCATATGGATAAACTGATAAGCCCTTGTTTTGTTTACAAATAGGATTAAAAATCACGAGGTATCCAAAGAGAGAGCAATTATAGCATCAGAATTTATTTTTTTTTCCAGTTGCAAAAAGCATTTTGAAATCTTGTTTTACTATGCACAGTTCAAACTGTTACTCAAATATAATTACACTAATGTTAGACTGAGACAAAGGAAAATATGGCAAAACAATTAGGTACTTACAGTATTGAAAAGGTTTGCAGAAGGAATGACTGATATCGTATACTTAAACTTTGACCTTTATCCTAAATTGTTGAAAATTAACCCAAGTATACTTCATGCAGAATATGTGTTTTTGCCAAATAATTTCAGCTGTGCATTTTAGAGTACTCACTCAGATGTGAAAGACACAGGCTGAGCTCTTTGTTAGAAAAAAAAAATAAGCTCCTCTCTTTCTCCTCCCTGCCAAAATAGGTCAAGAGCTACGGATGTGTCAGATCCCTGAGTGTGAAGTGCTGACAATTCTCCCACTGAAGACATTCAGACAGCTCTCACAACCAAGAAAGGAACTTTAAGGTACACATAACTGTCATATTGGAAGAGAAGAATGAGTTTGTGTTTCTCATGTCTTGAGGGGGTGTTTAAGCCCCAAATTAGTGGATGGAAACAGCACAGGCATAATCACTGGCCTCTTCTTGCTGTCTTTGAATGGTTTGGAAGAAAGTGTAGCCTTTCTCAGTTGGTATAAAGCACTTGAAGGCTCAGCTGTAGGGTAGAACTTAGTCCAAATCAAAAGTGGAGAAAACTGCCTCAGCCGCTGAAGCAGAGACACAATGTCACTCCTCTCAGCATCCCCAGCTGCAGGCCTTCAGTGTTTCTTTTCAGTGTAACAGCCTTTCTGAATCTATTTTCAAAGTGTCCAAGTTTAACTACCTACTGTATAACTAGGGGGTTGTTAACTCTAGAAGGGGGCAAAGATCTTAATAATTGGGCACTGCCACATTCACTAGAAGCAAACTTTCCTTTGGGAGTTTTGTTGAATGATAATGGTTTACCATGCAAAAGTGAAAGATAAAAAAGCCATCCATAGTCACATAGCCACTGTGGTTGTCCTACAGGCTGGGGTGCTGCTAGTTAATGATTACTTGATGTTACAAAATCAGAGAGTAGTTTGACCAAGCAAACAGTTCTAGCTAATAAGAAATTATGTGACTTTGATCAAATAGAGTAGACATCACATCTAAGAATCAGTAGATACACCTTCAAGTACTGATTCTGAAGCTTAAGTCTGTGACCTTAAGTCTCTTGTTGACACTTGTGTTTGTCTCCCTCACAGGAGTAACTACTAATGCACATGAAAAGCCTAAATTCAAGGTCTGAAAAGTGTGATGAGGGTGGAATTTGGATTAATGAACAGCTGGCTTTGAGCACAAGCTCCAGGACAGTGTTTCTCACTGAGCCTTCCTGAAAAACGTCCCTGGACTACTACATACCCTGTGTAATTATGCTGCTGGGATGGGAAAATAACACACCAACAAGATACTTGGCATTTTTGTTACACAGTA